CAGTGATAAAATTTAGCTTACATATAGTACTGTCAAAGTCGAATAAATTTATATGAAACACAAAGGAATTTTATATATTTGGGGACATAGTAATTTGAGCGACCACAAGGAATTTCTTGCCATTCCATCGTTCTGTGTTGCCCAGATCACAAGGCACCTCAGGACCGAAAGAACTGCATTCACCTCCCACTGACTGTGGCCTTTCTCCTTCCATTCAGTTTCACCCGCTGTCTGGGTGGAGCATCTCCAACTACCGGATTTGTTTCAGCTCAGCAGTGACTGTTGTTGGTCTCCGATGGGAATTTCTCAGCACGAGGAGGTAAAACAAACAAAAAACTGTTCTAGTTTCCCTGCAGAATTCTATTTGGCTTAATACATCTAACAAGAGGGGAACTGCTTATAAAAAACAGCTCCCTACTATTCTGCTGCCTACTAGAAAGGGAGAGAGCCCTTGCCGTTCTCTTTTATGGTACTACTTAAGCATGCAACTTTTGAGTAGCTGCTGCTTTCAGAAACCTGTCCTTTCCTAAGCACTTACTCCTACCTTCTTCACGTTGTGTATCCTTAATCTTATTGTCAAAGGACACTGGTGGCCTGACCTTGTACTCTTATACCTGGCCGGATTAACATGACTTGCTGCTGCTTTCTCAATGGCTCTTTGAAAGTGCGCAATGGAAATGTCTTAAAATTAAAATTAGGGAGGTGCAGTTCCAGGAAGAACTGCATTATTTCTGTTCACAGTTAATAAATACTTATTTCAGACAGCCATTGTTTCTCCTAAAAACTACCAACAAAAACCCCTGTCTTCCTATCAAACATAAAAGATAAAGTAGGAAACCCAAGTGAGCATCTGGATTCCAAACATTCGTATGTAAAGAGTATATTTGATCAGGGAAGGAAATCACTGCAATTAGAATTTGTGAAACTGCCAAGATTTTCATCATAATCTAGAACTGCCATGATTTTCTAATGATCTAGGATTCAAAAGTTTCTAATTAAGAGGTAAGTTCACATTTTTCAATGCGGAAAATTACCACTTACCAAAAAAAAGAATATACAGTTGGCCCTCTGTATCTGTAGCTTCTGCATCCAGGGATTCCACCCAAACACAGACTGAAAATAAAAAATTGGAGTCTCACTCTATCGCCCAGGCTGGAGTGCAGTGGCATGCTCACAGCCACCGCAGTCTCAACCTGTTGGGCTCAGGCGATCCTTCTGCCTCAGCATTCCAAGTAGCTGGAACTATAGGCACATGCCACCATGCCCGGCTAATTTTTTGATTTATTGTAGAGATGAAGTCTCACCAAGTTGCCCAGGCTGATCTTGAACCCACGGACTCAGGCAATCCTCTCACCTCGGCCTCCCAAATTGCTGGGATTTTAGGTGTAAGGCACAATGCCTGGCCAACAACACAAATTTTAAAATACAGTATAAGCACTAGGTGTAGTGGTACACACCTGTAGACCCAACTGCTTGAGAAGACTGAGGAGGATCACCTGAGCCCAGGAATTTGAGGCTATAGTGTATTATGATCATGCCACTGCACTCCAACCTGGGCTACTGAGCAAGACTCTATCTCTAAAAAACAAAAAAGCTATTTACATAGCTATCTATAATTAAGAGATGATTTAAAGTATACAAGAGATGTGCAAAGGTTCTATGCAACTACATACACCATGCTATATAAAGGACTTGAGCATGGTCAGCTTTTGGTACCTGCTAGGTGTCCTGGAGCCAATCTCTTACACATACTGAGAGATGACTGCAACTGCTATTTTGGGTGGACTATTTTGTTTTTGTTCTAGCTCTAATAACTAGGGGATGATGACTTGGATTTCCTTAAAGCTCAAAAGGATGTAACAATAACAAACTTTTCCCAACACCTGCTTATCGATTTAAAAAAAACAATAAACTTTTTTTTTTTTTGAGTTGGAGTCTCACTCCATTGCCTGGGCTGGAGTGCAATGGGACGCTTATGGCCACCCCAGCATGGACCTGATGGGTTCAAGGCAATCCTTCTCCTCAGCCTTCCGAGTAGCCATAACTATAGGCACATGCTATTACGCCCAGCTAATTTCTTGATTTATTGTAGAGATGAGGTCTCGCTAAGTTCCCCGGGCTGGTCTCGAACCCACAGCCTCAGGCAATCCACTCGCCTCGGCCTCCCAAAGTGCTGGGATTACAGGCTGAGCCACTGAGCGCAGCCAACTTCTGCTTTCAAGGTAGTTGTGCAACATGAAAGGAAAATAGAGTAAATTTATTGGGAAAAAGTCACGTACTGCAAACTCAGACACTACTCATTATTTGGTTGACCTGGAATTGTTATACTGTTAACACTTTTAAGTGAATGATAGATTGGTGCTTGAAAATATTTTGGCATATGTATCTCCATCAGAGTGGTATTTATTATAAGTAGGACTTCTTGCAGTTGTCAGGGTTTTTAAAAACAGTGCCCTGATAACAATAAATGGGCAATACCAAAGGAAAATATACATCACTTGTTAAAAGAACACCTCGATTTAAAAATGTTGTTATAGAAACCATTCTAGTAACTTGAGAGAGTACTTTATGCAGAAAAGAATAAGAGAACTCAGTATGTTAAAAATGTCAGTTGGCTGGGCTCAATGGCTCAGCCTATAATCCCAGCACTTTGGGAGGCCAAGGCAAGTGAATTGCCTGAGCCCGTGGGTTCAAGACCAGCCTGGGCAATTTGGCGAAACCTTGTCTCTACAATAAATAAAAAATTAACCAGGAATGGTAGCACATCTGTAGCTCTGGCTGCTTGGAAGCCTGAAGCAGATCACCAGAGCTCAGCAGGTTGATGCTGGGGTGGCTGTGAGTGTACGTGCCACTACATGCCAGCCTGGGCAACAGAGTGAGACTCCAACTCAAAAAAAAAAAAAAAATGACAGTCGAGACCAGGAGCAGTGGCTCAAGCCTATAATCCCAGCACTTTGGGAGGCCAAGGTGAGAGGGCTGCCTGAGCCCAGGGGTCCAAGACCAGCATGGGCAACTTGGTGAGACGTTGTCTCTACAATAAATAAAAAAATTAGCTGGGCATGGTAGCACACACCTGTAATTCCGGCTATTTGGAAGGCTGAGGCGGAAGGGTCGCCTCAGTCCAGCAGGTCGAGGCTGCAGTGGCCGTGAGCGTGCCGCTGCACTCCAGCTGGGGCGACAGAGACTCCAATTAAAAAAATAATAACAACAATGGAGAAAAAAATATTAAAAAACCTCTCCAAAACTAAAAAGCTAGTTTTCCGTGGCTAACCTGTTGAATTGTATTGGAATACACCTGGGTTTAGAAGAGAAGTTTCTTGGAATGGCAAAGACAGTTTTTATCACATCTGGTATAGCATTTATTCTTTCAGTGTTTGCTACATGTTTGGATATATTTTCCATAACTGCCAAAAGGCACGTGACATTTGAATCATTTACAGTTCCACAGCAACTCACCTGTTTTCTTCTTGTGAAAGCCCTCAAGCCAAACTTATGTTAACATCCTTATAGGAGTTGGTTCTTCCTGCTCTTCTGTCCATTAACAAGTATTTTCCTTCTGAATATCTTTTTGCCTCTCTCCTTAGTTTCTACCAGATATGTTTTCTTATGAATGGATCCCAAATGTTAGCATACAGCTGATATTTGTTAACTAGAAACTCAATTGCCAGTCACTCAAAGTGTCCTTATTGTCTTTCCAAGTTATTGCTTTAGACCCAGTCCTGGGCTCCTTTCTGATCCTCACCAGTGTCATTTTGATGTTACTCGTGGTAATTAATCTTTTTGTTTCTGCCATTCTAATGGCCTTTGGAAAAGAAAGTAAGTTCCTCAAGGTAGGCAGCTCTCTGTCTGGCTCAGTAACTGAAAAATAAGTTAGCATGACTTTGTATTACTAGAAAACCTAAACTGTAACTGCTAAGATTACAGTGACATACATAGTACACAGTATCAACATATTCCCCTTAGTCTCAACAGCTCCACCAACTATTTTCCTAGGAAGTCCAATTTATAAGACTGCATTATGTTCTATAGCCACTGTCCTATAACTAACTGGCCCTCAACCATTAAATAGCAGAAACACCCCAATACTTGACTATAAATCATTAAATAGTATCTCTACTATATATTTACATTTTTTTATCTTTGATACTTTTTTACTCAACATTTAGCAGTCATTTCAATTTTCCCGCTTTTCTCTTTTTATCTTCAAATACTCAGAAAGAAGCTGCACTGATAGATATGCTGCTACAGAAGCTCTCAAATTTGTTAGGAATCTGGCAGCACCAGGCCTTCTCATCCAAGCAAGCAGCCTTGACAGCAGTGGGCACTGACACTGAAGTTTTAGGTGACGAACTGCCTTTATCCTGTTATCGCCTATCTGGCTTATATATTTGTCAGCATATCACTGCTTATCTTTGCATGGTACAGCTTAGAAGATTTATATGTATATAATATACTTTGTTCTAATTCTGTCTGTAAGTTAGCGAGGAATCAAAATCGCATTGGCTACAAGTTCTCATGAGTCCTAGGGCTGTCAGAATAGGACTAACACTGCAAGAATAATCCAGGATAAACCAGTTCTACTGCCAAGCAGTAAGTAACAGAATACTCACCACCCAAGTCCCAGGATGGCTGTGAGAAATGGAATCTGAAGTGAGCTCACTGCAACTCACTAAAAACAAACACAGGTTGGGTGCGGTGGCTGACACCTATAATCCCAGCACTTTGAGAGGCTGAGGTGAGAGGATTGCCTGAGCCCACGGGTTCAAGACCACCCTGAGTAACTTGATGAGACCTCATCTTGACAATAAATCAAAAAATTAGCTGGGTGTGGTGGCATGTGCCTATGGTTCCAGCTGCCTTGGAAGGCTGAGGCACAAGGATCGTCTGAGTCCAGCAGGTTGAGGCTGTGGTGGCCGTGAGTGTGTCTCTGCGCTCCAGCTTGGGCAACAGAGTGAGACTCTGACTCAAAAAAAAACCAAAAACAAAATCTATACCTCATCTTTTGTGGAGAAAGCAAGACACAGGATCTTTAACTTTATTAGCAACTACTGAGCTATGAGATACAAACCAATCAAAAACATTAAAGAGTTGCTTGAAACAGGTTATGTACAAATATACTACATACACAGAAGCAAAATTGTATCTTTCACTCCCAAAGCCATCCTTGAGGGGAAAGATGGCCTCCTCAGCTATGGGGCAAAGGAGCACATAAGTTACAACAGAAGATTCTCATCCATCCAGGAAAATAGTGAACAGCCACGTGGCATCAAAAATGTCTCTGAAATCAGTTTTAAAGATTCCATTAATCATTAAGTTTTCAAATGAAAACAGGCACCCCTCTTCTCCGGTAGGCTTTCCAGCTCACTACCCAAGAGACTTGAGTACTTCTATTAAGGCAGCTGGAAGCCTACCCTAGGCCTGAATGGCAACTTCTGCCCAATACGTGGCCTGTCCTTCCTCTGCCCATAATGTAATCAAACAGAACAGGCTACAGGGAAAACAGGAATTTCCACAGTGCTGCCCTCTGATAAAAGGGAAACAACACTCAAAGCAAAAGGCCACAGAGGGCTCCCTGAGAATCCAGTAGAACTAAGAGAGGCCTTCAACTTTCCAAATAAACTTTGCAACTGGATCCAGGTGGAACAGTACCCTACAGTGAGCAGTAGTGTATATGCCAATGAGAGGGCCCAGCTTCCAGGAACCGTTACAAGGGCTTCCTGAGTCATTCTCTCTTCCATTCATAGCAGAGAGAGAGAAAACACACACCATGGCCTTGACTCTCACTCACACAAACCCCCCCAGAGGGGTTTGTTTCTAAGTCTGGAACCTCAACACGAGGGTGGGACACTTCACGAGGTGCTCTCCTTCACTGTCCAGCCATCTCTGGCAGCTCACCCCACAATGTTTTCATGGAAGGATGGGCCAGAAGCGAACTTGGGATCACTCTGACATGAAAAGGACAAGCACGCTGCCAGGAGCTAGCTGCTCTGGCCTCAAAGTCTCCAGCAGTTAGTCTCTTAGGATCGACAGAGAACTGGAAAGCAGCAGAATCTGGAGGAGCAGGACGAGAGCCCAGAGGAAGAGTGTGCTCAGTGATAGTTAATAGATGAAACGGAATTTCATGGAGATTCTTTGTTATAAGGAGAAACTGCTCAGTCTCAACTCCCAGAACTTCAAAGATGCCTGTTTCTTAAACCTATGTTTTCTTTTTTAGCTCTTCAAATCTTCGAGAAAGATCATCAAAGTCAATGTCTTCAGATGCTGAGGTGCTGGCACCAGCAGATGCAGTTGGTAGTGTGTCTGGCACAGATGGCAACTCTGGTAGCACAAAGTTGTCGTAGTTATCCACAGGTCTGGAAGGAGGCTTTGCAGAGGCTTCTGGCTTGGGTCCAGGACCTAATTACATTAGGATAAGAAGCATAAAGTTAAAAACACCAGAGAAATGACTCGGATATCCTTTGGTCAAAAAAAAAAAATGACCCACAATCCCCTTTAGCAGATCAAAATACAGGAGAAAATACTAGTTTAAAAACAAATTTATGGCCGGGATCAGTGGCTCAATCTGTAATCCCGTGCCTTTGGGAGGCTGAGGTGAGTAGATTGCCTGAGCCCGCGGGTTCGAGACCCACCTGGGCAACTTGGCGAGACCTCATCTCTACAATAAATCAAAAATGAGCCGGGCGTGGTAGCGCGCGCCTGTAGTTCCAGCTACTACTTGGAAGGCTGAGGCGGAAGGATCACCGGAGCCCAGCAGGCGAGGCTGCGGTGGCTGGGAGCGGCCACTGCACTCCAGTCTGAGCGACAGAGTGAGACTCCGACTCAAAAAAAAAAATTAAGATAATTAACATCTGCATTTCCTAATTATGGCTGAATTCTATCTGTTTTACTTTCCTATGGTGAGAAAAACGGTAAAGGGAAGTAGAAGTGTGCCTCATGGGGCCATATCCACAAAACATTCATCTAAACAGACTTTCCTTTCACAAAGGTCTGTCCTATAACAATCAAGTCCAAGGAGTGGTACTAGCATTCCACTGGAACAAATACTGCTTCCTTAAGAATCTCCACTCTTTAAGGCTAAGGGGGAAAATTTTGTATAAAGAATGTTAATGTCCATATGATTTGATGTAATGGTCTGATCTGTATTTCTAGTCTTTCAATGTGTATTTTATGTTAAAATCACCCCCTATCTACGTTTGCATTTAAATATATTAAATTCTCTACATATGAACCTTCACGTTGTGAACTTTCAAGGATGCGAACATATGCCCAATCACATAAGCTAGTTCACATGTCTGGTGTGACCCTGCAGTTTGCCCTCTGTCTCCTATTTGCTAATGATCCTTGAGCTCTACCATCTCCCACCTACTCTCCTTCCTCTAGTCAGTAACACTTACAATTTGTGCCTATTTCACTCAATGCCAGTCCCCGTGTGCTAGCTATTGTACTATACTGTACCACTGTACTTTACAAGGCACTGTACTGTAAGATTTAAAGTGTCTTATTTCTTGTGTGTATTATTTGTGTGGAAAATATTATAAACCTATTACAGTACTATTTAGCCAACTATATTAGTTGGGAACCTAGGCTAATTTTGTTGGACTTATGAAAAATTGGACTTACAAATGTGATTTCAGAATGGAACTTGTTCGTATGTAGGGTTGTTGGTAGTGTTTTAACAGCATTAAGTTCTAGAGTAGGCAAAACTAAACTACAGAAAATCAAAATAGTGCTTGCCTCTGGGGGAAGGGCAGAGCTGACTGGAAGGGAACACAAGGAAAGTTTCTGGGGCGACGAAAACATTCTATACACTGGCTAGACTGGTGGTTTTGTGTGTGTGTAAAAACTCATCAAACTATATACTAAAAATCTATGTTTTTTCAATAAAAACTATACCTTGCTGGGCTCGGTGGCTCAGCCTGTAATCCCAGTACTTTGGGGGAAGCCGAGGCAGGTGGATTGCCTGAGCCACAGGTTTGAGACTAGCCTGGGCAACTTGGCAAGACCTCAACTCTACAATAAATAAAAAATTAGCCGGGTGTGGTAGTGTGTGCCTGTAGTTCCAACTACTTGGAAGGCTGAGGCAGAAGAATCACCACTGCACTCCAGCCTGGGCGACGGAGTGAGACTCCAACTCAAAAATAAGTAAATAAAAATAAAAACTATACCTTCATAAAACAACTGTCTCTAATTATAAAAGTATCCCTTTCTCTGGGGTGCTGGTAGTGTTTTATTTTTTGAGTGGACATTGATATGAACATGCTTGCTTTGTGAAAATTCACTGAGAAACATTTATGATTTGTGCCTATTTTCTCTTTAACACCCTAACTTAAAAAAAATTGAGGGGATTGAGGGACAATGGCAGGTGAAGCAGCAATAGTATAATAAATAACTTGAGGGTGACTGAAAAACTAGAATATGAAAAAAATAGTGATACCACTGTCAGGAACAGGGAACTTGGGGGATCTTTTAGGGTAGGGAAAATCTTTTATCTTTGGAAGTAGGAAATCCTGAGTTCTGTTTTAAATATACAGCATTGGGTGAATGCCATGGACATGCAAACAGTCTCTAAGGGAGAAACAATAATGAGAAAACAGCAGCGGGTCCAGCACTGAGCCTCCTGATTCACACTACTCACCCATGATCTGTGTAGAAGAGACATTCTTATCAGCATTGTCATCAACCTGAAACACAAAGATTGTTACCAGAAGAAAAAGCAATGGCATCACTGGTATAAGCCTCTGTTTTCCAAGAGCTAAGTTGCTCACCAAAAGCAAAAGAATCTGCACCAAAGAAACTATCCCTCCGCCCCCTGCACTTCCTCCAACCAGGTAGATACCATGTTGAACTCTTACTGCCAAGCAGAAAAAAAAATTCTAACCACACCATAACCCCACCCTTTACTAATGATACCCTCTCACCATCTGGGCAAAGAGAAAGTACTAAACCACTGAATATATCTTTGAGAACCAGGCCCTCAAGTACTGATGAAGATCTTCTACCTCATTCCTATAAACAGTTGTGGGTCATGCTTTGACGCATGCAAGACCAAAGCATAAGAAAAACTCATACCCAAGGTAAAACACATCAGCTGGAGATAAATACCAAGAGAAAGAACAGTAAGCAAGCTCAGGAACAGGGAGACCTTCCTGGATGAATAATTTACCCAGCAAATGCTGTTTGTCTTCTCAGTAAAATATCAGATAGGAACAGGTCTCAAAGGCATAATATACTGACTAAGGAAACAACGGAATTCTGAACCAAAAATGTTACAATCACCTACAGTTGAGGGCATCATCACCGTATTAGCTACATAGGGCAAGTTTTAATTACCGGACTACAATATGAAATCAACTCTACAGGTTGAATACACAGGGCAAGTTTTAACTACCAGACTGTAATATGAAATCAAGTCTACAGCCTGAAATGCACTTACTGGACACTTATGATAAAAATGTGGTCACTATTTATTTACGTTAGAACTTACAAAACTAGTATTTTAATAATTATGAGACTCTAGCACCAAGAGTATACCAGCTCAATGTGCTTCTCTGCCTATCTAGTTAAAGTAACTGGTTAAGTGCCCTCATAGGACAACTTTCTAAGAGATGTGCAGCTCCTTCCTGATTCCTGGCTTAATTGCAGACAGAGCTTTGCCACCAATGATGTTGCCATCACCCCCACTCCCCATTTCCAGGGTAGTGTTAAGCAACATAAGAATCCCAAAGCAAGAGCAATGTGGGTACTAGAAGTTGATTAAAACTTTGCCTTCCCTGTGGTCATTAATTTGTTCTCTCTTCATGGGATTCACTCTCCTGTTGCTTATAAAAGAGGCTCAGGCACTTACAGATTCATACGATGGGGGAGTTGCTGGTATCTGAGGTGGATGAATATTAGGAAAGGCCTGAAAAGTCCCCACTGGCAATCCATTGAAATCCGACTGCAAGAGGAGAAAGGTAACATCAAAGGCACTGCCCCTAATTTACAGTTTCTGAGGTTGTATATGGGAAGGGAGAAATTTGTCTGTGTGCACGCGCACACACACACACACAAATCTTCTCACACTGAATACGTATATTCAAGATCACCAAAAGAAAAAAAAATGCCCAAAGGACTACATGTGGTCAGAAAGATTCCAGACCATTAAAGACCTATAGCCATCAAACATGATGTGGGTTGATTAAAAAAAAAAGACCCATAGCCAAAGACTATCCTTTAAATTACTAAATCAAGTGCTTCAATGTTTACAAGAAAAATTCTAATCAGACTTTCTTACTAGCAATAACCTTCCATCTTGTTATTATCAAGTTTTGGCCTGGTTATTAGCAGCAGTTTATTATTTATGGAAAAAGCTACTAGCAGGACTGCAAACAGTCCCAAAGATATTCAATAAACCTGTATGTAAAAGGTTTTTAGGCCAGGTGCAATGGCTCAACACTTTGGGAAGCCAAAGCAAGAGGATCGCTTGAGCCTAGGAGTTCAAGAACCACCCTGGGCAACAAAGCAAGATGTCATCTCTATTTTAAAGAAAAGAAAAGAGTTTTTCTAGCACCATCTCTTCATTACCTACAGCTGAATCAAAAGACTTTCTCTGAATTCCAATTATTATTTCCCCCACAATATGATCATTAAGGTAACACCAACTGTTCTTATTGCTAAATGGTCCTGACATCCTGTAACTCCTAAGTATTCACAAAGTCAACTTTGTCATCTTCTGCAACATTTTCTAAAGCTTACATCCACACTTATTTATATGTATACTTACTGGTCCCTTTGGCAGTGGATATGAGAAAGGTGTGTTTGGAGATGGCATAGGCATGGGCATGGGCATGGGCATTGGCACTGTTCCATCAGGTCCACTAACTGGTGCTGTGAACCCGCCCCCTTCTCCTCCTCCTCTTCCAGGGCCACCTTTCTTCACATCATCTGTGAATCCAACATCAATAAGATCTGTCTCTACTCCAGGAGGAGCTTCTGCCTAAGAAACAGAAAGAAAGTCATATTATTAACTCATATTCAAGGCCAGGCTCCCCAGAAAGCAGACTCAGAGATACAGATTAGCATGCAGGAAGTTTACTGGAGAGTGCTCTTAGTTTTTTTGTTTTTGTCTTTTGAGTTGGAGTCACTCTGATGCCGCCACCACAGCCTCTATCTGCTGGGCTCAAGGTAATCCTTCCTCCTCAGCCTTCCAAGTAGCTGGAACTACAGGCGTGTACCACCACGCCTAGGTAATTTTTTAATTTATTGTAGAGATGAGGTCTCATCAACTTGCCCAGGCTGGTCTTGAAGCCCTGGACTCAGGCAATCCTCTTGCCTGGGTTTCCCAAAGTGCTGGGATTACAGGCTTGAGCCACCGTGCCTGGTGAGAGTGTGCTCTTAGGATCAACACCTCTAGGGTAAGGAAGCAGAGCAGGATGGAGGGGAAAGTTGGGCTGTGACACAGTCACAACAAAGTCCTCACCCAATGCCCCAGGGAGTTCTGGAGCTAGGATGAACCTGTAGGTGTTCCCAACTGGAGCTAAGGAGGTATGATAGCAGCAAACTAAAGCATCCATCACACCACACCAACTTAACTGCTGAATGAATTTATCCCTGTATTCTCAGCTTTTGGTGCACTGACACATGGTGGGCACCCATTAAGTGTTTCAGGAACTGTTTAGGTGTTGGGGCATTTCTTGCTATCCACAGGGGGATTCTCAATTCCTTGAAGTCACCAAAAAGCATCAATAATAATACCATTTTACATTTGCATAATGGTTTGTAGCTTCTCAAAGTGTCTTCAGTCATTCATCTAATCTGATCTCTAAGTACACTGTGAGATATGCAGATATATATGTATATACATTCACCCAAAAAGGCACTAACAGGACAAAGACTTAAACTCACACAAATTTAAAATTGTGCAAAAAATAAGGTTATTATTATTTTTTGAATGTGTGAGTCAGAGTCTCACTCTGTCACCCAGGCTGGAGTGCACTGGTACACTCACGGCCACCACAGGCTCAACCCACTGGGTTCACGCGATTCTTCTACCTCATCCATCCAAGTAGCTGGAACCACAGGTGTGCCTGGCTAATTTTTAAATTTTATTGTAGAGACGAGGTCTCATCATGTTGCCCAGGTTGGTTTTGAACCCATGGGCTCAGGGAATCCTCTCACCTCAGCCTCTCAAAGTGCTGGGATTACAGGTGTGAGCCACCACGCCCGACAAGAATATGGTTATTTTTAAAAAGAAGGGCATAGATAGAAACTCATTTTCCTCTGTACTCTGGGATAAACTTACCATGACCACAGAGTCAGGCTCATAGGGTACATTGTAATTCTTAGCAATTTCAATCAGATATCTCTCCACCAGGATTTTGGGTGGGGCTTCCACACTCAGTTTGTGCATTAGCTGTAAGTAAAAGACCCAGGGTTAAGATGCATCTATATCAACCAGTCTAATCCTAACCTGTCTCACTATTTAAACTTAGTTTCTCTCATTTTACAGGTAACAATGAAGAAAAAAGTGATTCGGTGTAGTTAAAATGATTTTTTACAGTCACCAGCATATCACAGGACCCATGTCTTTCTTTCACATTCGCTGATCTCACATGATCCAGGTGTTGGTAAAAGACTAATAATACTGCTATCTTTCCCTTTTCAGTTTCCACCCTTCTCCCCACCTCACTTCTAATCTTCACAAATCATAAAGGGCACAAAGGACAGAGGGAAAGTCAGGAGTGACAGCATCACAGTCAGAGGTGTTGGTTGGGCAGGGTAAGGAGTTGACTGCACTGCCAACCACACCACCATCCTCCTCACCCTCGCTATGAAATGTGCAACCCTGGATGGTGGTACCCAATCTAGAACCACAGGCAATAAAATAACTTGCTCCAATCCATGCACTACATCATGTTTACCAAGTATATCCATTACCCTGTCATTCACAGTTCCAATCTGATTCGTCCTACATAATTTGCCATATTCCTTGCTATACTTGGCACAGAGCTGATCAGCAACCTACAAAGGAAAAAAAAAACAGCAAATAAAAATGAAAGCCACTTCTACAGATTGGTTCAAGCTTCCTCCCATCAACAGTAAACACACTTCCATTACAAGATTTCCAAAAAACTGAAGTCTGAAAAACCTTAAGGGGTACACATTAATTCACTGCTTATCCATCCAGTCAGTGAGCAGCATCTAGGTGCCAACCACGATTATAAGCATTATGATATTTAATACAAATATAGTGATGAACAAAAACAGATACTGTTCCTACTCTTGCAGTCTTACAATCTGGGGAAAACAGTCACTAATCAAACAATCACACAGAAAAAGGTACAACTGCAGCTGTGATAAGTGCTACCAAGGGAAGGTGCACCATGCTATTACCAGCTTCTAATAAGAGAATCAGATCTGATCAGAAACATCAGGTAAGGCTTCCTGAAAGAAGTGATGTTTTGCTGAGATTTAAAGAATGGTTAGAAGCTAAACAACAAGGATGGAAAGAAGAGTCTTCCAGGAAAAGAAATAGCAAGTGCAAAAGCCTCTGGTAGAAAAACCATGGCCAATCCTCAAGCCTGAAATAAAGTTAGTGAGTCTCTAATGCCGAGCCCAAAGGAGAAGCGTGGGAGAAAATGAAGAAAAAGGGGGGTGAGAGCCAGGCACAGTGACTCACGTCTGTAATCCCATCATTTTGGGAGGCTGAGGAGAGACTACTGCCTGAGCCCACAGGTTCGAGACCAGCCTGGGCAACTTGAGACTTCGTCTCTACAATAAATCAAAAAATTAGCCAGGCGTGGTGGCACATGCCTGTAGTTCCAGCTACTTGGAAGACTGAGGCAGGAGGATTGCCTTAGCCCAGCAGGTAGAGAGGCTGTGGTGGCCATGAGCATGCCACTGCACTCCAGCCTGGGCAACAGAGTGAGACTCTGACTAAAACAAAAAAGAAAAAGAAAAAGAGGGAAGGAGGTTAGCCAGATGCTGCAAGGTTATGCAGGCTATGTTAGGGAATTTTGTTAATATGGCAAGAACAGCAGAAAGCTTCTAAAGTGCTTCATAGCACGGGGTAGTGACAGGATTAGATCTGTGTTTTGAACAAAACCCTCAGACTGTTCTGATGGCATGATGAATGCCTAAAAGAGGTCAAAGCAGGTGTAGAACAAGAAGCTATTGTAACAGTTCAGACAGAAGATGATAGCGGCAAGGTACCAGAGAGTTCCCAACATTTTGGGAACCCAGTGGGAAAGTTCTCACTGTTCAACATGTAGAATTTCAGGGGGACCTATGACATAAATTTGTCGTTTGTCTTCTGACTTATGTTTAGTTTTCGCTTTACACTACACAGAGATTATTTCATGTTTACTTATATTAATTTAGCACTTTCACGGTTTTTTGGTTTTGTGACATATTTAGGCCTTTTCCATGACAAGATTTTTCTCTTTTTGAGTAGGAGTCTCACTCTGTCGCCCAGGCTGGAGTGCAGTGGCATGTTCATGGCCACCGCAGCCATGACCTGCTGGGCTCAGGTGAACCTTCCACCTCAGCCTTCCAAGTAGCTGGAACTACAGGTGTGCGCCGCCATACCCGGCTAACTTTTTTCTTGATTTATTGGAAAGATGAGGTCTCAACAAGTTGCCCAGCTGGTCTCGAACCCCTGGGCTCAAGCAATCCTCTTGCCTTGGCCTCTCAAAGTGCTGAGATTACAGGCTTGAGCCACCACACCCAGGCTGAGATAATTTTTAAAGAGGGAGTACAAGAGAGACTAAAAACAATAATTGAAGTTAAAAATCTGTATTAGAATCCATTGTCTGTTCTCTCCCATTCCTATACCCACAAAACTCAGTGACCACCCCCCCGCCCTATTAAAATATGAGAGGTTTATTCTCTGAGGAAGTTAAACAAGGGGACTCTGGACTCCACACAGGAGAAAGCAGGGATACTCACAAAAGTAAAATTAAGTCTTCTATGTATCAAAAACTGAAACTTTTGGCTTCATTCTCCACTAGGCTCTCAGAAATGCTGGCACCCACTTACGCCCCTCAGGTAGAAGTAGGAGGATGCTTCTGGGGAAAACGATCAACCAAAGGAAAGAAAACTGGTTTCTGACTGTCTAGAATTCACCCAAAGAAGAGCTTAGTCAGATCACTCAAAAATGAAGGCATACGGCAGTAGACCCCATCCATGCACACATGAGGTACTAATCTGCTTTTTATTGCCACACCCTTTTAAATATAAACGACAACCAAGGACCACCAAATATTAAAAAAAAAAAAAAAAACTCCACTATAAAATAAACTCTAAAACTAAGAAACACAAAAAAGGAAACTGAAGGAAACAAACATGACAGGAAGAAAAAAATTTAAAAGAAATGTTAAATAATATCCTCAGGCCGGGCATGGTGGCTCAAGTCTGTAATCCTAGCACTTTGTGAGGCCAAGGCGAGAGGACTGCCCAAGATCAGAGGTTTGTGACCAACCTGGTGAGACCTCATCTCTACAATAAATCAAAAAACGAGCCAGGTGTGGTAACGCAGCCTGTAGTTCCAACTACGTGGGAGGCTGAGGTGGAAAGATTGCCGGAGCCCAGCAGGTCGAGGCTGCAGTGGCCATGAGTGTGCCACTGCACTCCAGCTTGGGCAGCAGTGAGACTCCAACTTAAAAAAAAAAAAAACATAGAAAACAAGGAAATCTCAATGGATGAGTTGAAGATAACCTTCCAACCTCCTGGAAAATAAAACAAATAGGCAGATACAGAAAAATATGAAAGAAAACAAGTCAATTGAACTTGTATCCTGGCAGTCAGTACCATATCTGTGTTGTGATGTGCAATTTTCTGGTTAATATCTGTCTCTCCTGCCAGACTCTAAGCTACAAGAATATGGCTGGTGATACATTCTGCTCATACTGTTACTCTCAGCACTCATTTAACTCATACTATCCACTCAGTAAATATCTGTGGAATTGATATAGCAAAACATCTGTCAACTTAATGTTATAACTTTACTGGCTATTACTGTTGTATAACAACTTTTCTATTTGTATACAGTTAAATAACATTATAAGCCAGATGTGGTGGCTCATGCCTGTAATCCCAGCACTTTGGAAGGTAAAGGTAAGAGGACGGCCTGAGCCTATGGGTTCAAGACCAACCTGGGCAACATGGCAAGACCTCATCTCTACAATAAATCAAAAAATTAGCCAAGTGTGGTGGTGCACACCTGCAGTCCCAGCTACTTGGAAGGTTGAGGTGGAAGGATCGCCCGAACCCAGCAGGTTGAGGCTGTGGTGGCCATGAGCACTCCAGCCTGGGTGACAGAGTGAGACTCAAATTCAATAAGTAAATAAATAAATAAATAAAATAACATTATAATAAAAATAATTTAAGACAAAACAAGAGGTATACAAAACTTTGCTCCTTAAAAAAATTACTGCTGGGTGCAGTGGCTCGAGCCTGTAATCCCAGCATGTTGGGAGGCTGAGGCAAGAGGATTACCTGAGTCCACTGGTTCAAGACCAGCCTGGGCAACTTGGTGAGACCCCCATCTCCACAATAAATCAAAAAATTAGCCTGGCATGGTGGTGTGCGCCTGTAGTTCCAGCTACTTGAAAGGGTGAGGAGGAAGGATCGCTTGAATCCAGCAGGTCAAGGCTGCAGTGGCCATGAGCAGCATGCCCCTGCACCCCAGCCTAGGCGACAGAGACTCTGACTCAAAAAAAAAAATCACTCAAGGCCACGCACAATGGTTCGCTATTGGAGGCTGAAGTAGGAGGATCACTTGAGGCCAGGAGTTTGAGACCAGCCAGGGCAAAACAGCAAGACCCCAGTCTCTACAAAATAAAAGTTAAAATTAAAATTATTAAAAGGCCAGTTTGGTAGCCCAGCCTTTGGGAGGTCAAGGAGAGTGGACTGCCTGAGCCCGCAGGTTCGAGACCAGCCCAGGCAAACTGGCAAGACCTCGTCTCTACAATAATTAAAAAAAAAAATTAGCCAGGCATTGTAGCAAGCACCTGTAGTTCTGGTTACTTGGAAGGCTGAGGCAGAAGGATTGCTCTAGCCCAGTAGGTCTACGCTGGGGTGGCCATGAGTGTGCCACTGTACTCCAGCCTGGGTAACGGAGACTCCAACTCAAAAAAATAAAATTATTAAAAATTTTTTAAAAAGGCAAGGCATGATGGCTCATGCCTATATCCCTCGTACTTTGGAAGGCCAAAGCAGGAGGACTGCTTGAGCCCAGAAGTTTGAAACCAGTCTAGGTAAAACAGCAAGATTTTGTCTCTAAAAAAAAAATAAATAAAATAAGAAATAAATAAAAATTATCAGGGCAAGGTGGTGTGCACCTGTAGTCCCAGCTACTCAGAAGGCTGAGGTGGAAGTATCACCTGAGCCCAGGAGGTAAAGGCTGTGGTAAACCATGATCATGCCACTGTATTCAGGCTGGGCAACAGAGTGAAACTCTATCTCAAAAAAAAAGAAAGAAAAACAGAAAGAAAATAGAAAAATTACTTAAGCTTGCAAAACACCATCCTATTCTATGATATAAAGCCAGAAAAGGAGAAAGAAACAAATTTACAAATTCTGTTTCAAAAGCTGCATGAGAAAGGTACAAAATACCTGGTGAAATAAACAGAAGTGACTTACATTAACCAACCTAACAATAAGAAAAGCAAGAGACATCACTGAAACTGGTTGTACTCACTATTTTTAACTCAGCCACTTCTGACTGAAGTCGAGGAGCAGCCCAGATCAGTGTAGACACAGATTCAGCCAGTCCAGAATCTAGTTCCCTGATCAAGGAAAAAAATTAATACAATTTAACAATCTTTAAAATGGACCAACAAAATGCTGGTTTTTGTTTCACAAACTTGATAGCCTTAAAGCTATTTCATGAATCTCACTAGGTTCCCACAATAACTCTAGCCTTCTAGCCACTTCCATTACCCTATTTTGCTTTTGGGGAAACTCATCATAAGCAATGAGCTCAAGGCCTGAAAATCAGGAAATGTTTAAGCCAAAACACACTTAGGCCTCTCGATTTCAGACTCTATACTTTCTTTTCAACAGTTGTCTACGTTGAAATCAGGCCTTCAAGCAATCAGCAGGAAAAAGATCCTTGAGTATGTGAAATAGTTCCTTAGTACTAGCCTCCTACATGTAGAAAGAGACCAATATTACTCCTTTCTCAAATTCCAGAAGTGATTTGGGTTTCTGAATTGAGTATCTTACTTCATAGATTGGATGAGGCCAAACCGAGCCAGCAGCAGGTCACAATACAGCTCCAGGATCTCCATGGCCTCCACAAGATAGTCTTCCCGGATAATGTGCTCCACGCGGATCCGAGCTCGTTCATCTTTCCCAGCGGCCAGATAGTCAGCAATCTCCTTTCTTGCCTTCTGGGCCAGTTCCGCTGAGGCACAAATCCCACTCCAGTCACACAGCAGTCCTACACTGGCACGTGGTCTACAGGCTAACCTCCACCCAAAGAGAGAACTGGGCGCTTCTACTGTATCCTAGCTCACTCTCCCTTAGCAAATCTAGTCCCAGGTCATCTACTCTAGAATTTGCTCCCCAGTCTCGGTGAGAAAACAAAGGGTATGTGGCTTGAATTTCCAACTCAGGAGTCAGGTTATCGATTCCACAGCAACAGAGAATGTCCCTTTCCCTACAACAGTCGAACTAGTAACAAAAGACAAAAATATATCAAAAGCTTAAAAGATACGAGAGCCCAAAACTGCATAGTACTGCCTTGAAAAATTCACTACTGGAATGCTAGCACCCAATGATGTATTTTGGGAAAGAACAGGTAAGGTGACCATGCACTACTCACTTTTTTTTTTCTCCAATAGTTTAAGACGATTTATGACTAATCTCAAATTGACACGTAAGCGCTCAGCTTTAAATCCAGAGCCCAGCATGCTGTGCTGTTCCTCCTAGAAAAAGAAGCACAATGACTGTTTTCAAGTCAAAATTAGTGCAGGATCTAATATCATTTAGAAGTGGATTATCTGACACAGTAAACCAGAGGGTTTTTTCTTTCTTTTTCTCACTTGGGGCCCTCACTCTGTTGCCCTAGTTAGAGTACAGTGGATCACTGCACTGGGCTGAGGTGATCCTCCCATCTCGGCCTCCCAAGTAGCTAGAACTACAGGCGCGTGCCACCTCCTCCAGCTTTTTTTTTCCTTCTTAGAGATGAGGTCTCACATGTTGCCCAGGCTGGTCTCAAACTCTTGGGCTCAAGCAACTCTCCCGCTTCATACTCAAGCGCTGGAAGGTATGAGCCCTTGCACCCAGACTCCAGAATGTTTTTTTCAATACAGGATCTAAATCACATTTTTTTTTAAATCACATTTTTCATAGATCATTTTGGCTGCTCTATAGAAAACTGACTGAAGGACAATAATATTGGAAGCAGGAGAACCAGTGAGAAGTGAGAAGACTATTGCTATCATCCAAACAAGAGACCAGAGTGGCAGTGGTAGAAGCAATTGGATTTGAAATCTATTTTGAAGGCACAGCTGAAAGAACTTAGTGACAGATAAAGTGATAAAAAGATGAAGAAATAGGAGTCTTCTGCTTCTCCCAAAAATTTCAACCAGGGTGGTGATGGAAAAAGATTATCAAATTTAAATTCAAAATAAAAAAATAAAAAATATGCTCATCTTAATTCCTCAAATCCACCACTAAGTCTCATTCTCTAGGAAAAAGCTGGTGCTCAGCAGCACAGAAATATCATTAACATCTATTCACACACAGTTATACAAAGGGGTGAAAAGTCCAAGAAAAAAAAATGCTTTACAAAATCCTACAACAGAAGGCTATTTACCAAGAATTTTACTGGAAAGAGTCACAGTCAACAAAACCACCCCTCCTCTATCCACAGGATTTTAGGGTATATATACTATTGTGCAATGACCACTTGTACATTCTATTTCAAGACAGCACAATTGCTATTTCTCTATATTAATTCTAGACTCAAACTTAAAAACATGTACTCTCCAAACAAAAGCTAGGTCTAACAAAGTAACTGAAGAACAGACAAATCAGAAGAGATTCAATGTAAGAAACAACAGGAATAGTACTTGTGTACTTCTAAATAAACCACTAATAGAAAATATCACCCCCACATTTAAAGAAATATTCTTTAAAATATATTAAAATATAATTAAAATAAAATAAAACATCAGATGTATTTTCCTTTTGTAAAAATGCCTCCAGAAGGCTTTATATACATTTAAGAACTAACTCATTTCTCAGTTTATGAATTTTGTATGTCATGAAGTATCTGGGATCCATTATACTGAATTATGTTCAATCCATTCAATAAATATTTACTGATTACCTATATATGTCAGACACTGGTTAGACCCTGGAGATTAAAAGTATAAACTGAGATGCAGCTGAGAAAATCTAGCAAATACAATACTGTTGGATAAGGATTTCAATTCTAGAGTGGTTTTAAATGGGGAGTGATTTTGCACCTAGGGGACATCTGGCAATGACTTTAGACATTTTGAATTTTCACAACTGGAAGAGCCGCAACTAGCAACTGGTGGGGAGAGGGCTGGGATACTGGTGAACATCCTACGATGAACAGGATAAGAAGCCTACAGCAACAAAAAAATTACCTGGCCCCAAACGTCAACAGTGCCAAGATTGAGAAAAGACAGACAACCTGTTTAGGGAGATTTCTATGAAAGGCTCTGTAAGAGGACAAACGAGATATCTGTAAAGAAAGATATTTAGCGGGTTCGGTGGATCAGTCTGTAATCCCGCGCTTTGGGAGGCTGAGGTGAGTGGATTGCCTGAGCCCGTGGGTTCGAGACCCGCCTGGGCAGGCAAGACTTCATCTCTACAATAAATCAAAAAATCAGCTGGGCGTGGTAGCGCGTGCCTGTAGTTCCAGCTACATGGAAGGCTGAGGCGGAAGGATCACCGGAGCCCAGCAGGTCGAGGCTGCGGTGGCTGGGAGCGGCCACTGCACTCCAGTCTGGGCAACAGAGTGAGATTCCAACTCAAAAAAAAAAAAAAAAGAAAGATATTTATACAGAATGTAGGGGCAGAGGGAGCAATGATGAGTGGAAAACACAGGTACTAGATAGAACAAGGAGTTTTTTGAGTGCCTCAAATTCAGTACTGTTGAAGCATGGGATATAACATGCCTTATATAATCATAACTACAAAGGATTTACATATAGGAATGGCTAAATCTTTTTAAGTTTAGCCTTTGTCTATGCACATGCGCCTTTTTAAAAGTTGAGGTTGGCCAGGCGTGGTGGCTCACGCCTATAATCCCAGCACTTTGGGAGGCTGAGGTAAGAGGATTGCAGGTAGAGACTGTAATAGCCATAAGCGTGCCACTACATTTCAGCCTGGGTGACAGAGTGAGACTACTACTCAAAAAAACAAAAAACAAAAAAACAATAAACCAAAAAATTTGTCAAGCATGGTGGCATGTGCCTGTAGTTCCAGTTACTTGGAAGGCTGAGGTGGAAGGATCACCTAAGCTTGAGGATGCAGTGGCTGTGAGCGTGCCACTGCACTCCAGGCTGGGCAACAGAGACTCCAACTAAAAAAAAAAAAAAAAAAGAAAGAAAGAAAAACAATAGATATCTCAAATGAACCAGATACTGAAGGACACAAAGGGAGGAGACAAATAGTGGCATTAGCAACATGAAGGAACTCTGGAGAATGTAAAGACATCTTTATCTGTTTCACACATTTGCTTAAGATGGGTCAGTATTCACAAATTCTAGTTTGGGACCATACTTAAATGGCCTGAAAAAGAAAGAATACAAGTCTCTGTCACAAGAATAATAGAGACTCTGAAGGAGCAAAGGGCTAAAAATCACTGAAGGAGGAGTTTAAATGCTTTATGCTACAAATAGAAATCAAGATCTATAAATGAAGTTGAAAACATTGAAATGTGAAAAGTTGTCAATATTTCACTGTTCATCTTTTGGCTGGAGATGTCTGGGCAGAGAAGTTTATGGAAACCTACTGTAGAAGACAAATAAAAACAAATCCAGCTCCTGCTAGGCTCAAACCCAGCACTCCAGGGTTGAGTGGAAGGCATAAAAAAAAAAAAAAATCCAAATTACTATCTTATGATTCATTGATAACATTTATTTATTCAAACCTATAAAAGAAACCATTGGTCCTCTTAGGGACTCTAAAAATCAGGGTCGCAGCTGGAAAGAGATGGCATCTACAATCTGGATATTTTAAGGAGAATTTAATAAAGAAACTATCTTAAAAAGTATAGATAGGGTGGGGGTGGCATTGGCAGTAGTGGGAAACTGCCAGGGGAAGGTGGGGCACATCTCATCAACATGGGTACCTGCATAATGAACTTTTTTTTTTTTTTA